CTGGCTGCTGAGTGCCAGGCAGGTGGAGGCAGAAGCCAAAATACCCACTGCTAGAGTTATCACCAACATTCAGGGCGTGCCACCAGCTCCAGGGTAGTCATCACTGAGAAGGCCACACAAACTTCCTGTGAGTGTCTCTCATGGACTCAGGGGAGATCAGAGATGACTCATCACTGCAGGGATATCTGCACTTCCTAAAACTGCTTGTAGTCATCTCAGAACCTGTTCTTGAACCATGAGACAGTGGAAATGCTACAATACCCTTCACCAACATACAGGCTATTTGTAAGAATCCAAAATTTCTCAACAGTACATAAATAGCCACTACAGCTAGACTGTGGTTCCCTGATTTGAGATTTCAGAGACAGGTAAACTTAAAAAGAAATTCTGAGGATTGACAAACAGCAGCCAAAATTTTGTTCTGCAACCAACAGCATTTAAAAGAGCAAAAATATCACCCTCTACTATCACCTCCACTATATAAAAAGACATTTTATCATCCAAATTAGGAAGAAAATAATCTCAGAATAAAAGAAAATTTTACTTCATCAATTATTTACTATGTCCATATACATTTCCCCTGCATAGAACCCTCTGGGGCTGTATGCTGTAAGCCACAATGACTCTGGCCCAAGGTCTAGCCGTGATCTCCCAGGTCATTGTCATCAGCTTAATATATTTCCACTGAGAAGCACAACAGTCACAATGATAGAGTTTACATGTGCACAGAGCCTGCTCATATAAAAAGTGCTTTCACATGCACATGCATCTCCCATGTGACCTCACACAACCCTGTGGGAAAGGCACAGCAGGAAGCCTCCCCCCCCCCCCCAGTGGCGCCTCCACTGTCACAGAGACTGCCACACAGGCAGCAGCAAACCAGAGGCTAGAGCATCTCTTTCAGACAGATTGTTCCTTTGCTCAGTCCTATGTTTGCTATACGTTCCTCTCTTTCTTTCATTAACTTTTTTTTTGAAGAATCAATTCATGGAAGAAGGAAAAAAAATGATGGCACTTAAGCCTGATAAAAGCAACATAATCAACATTAGGAAATTATTGTCCTTTCTTTTTAAAATAGCCAATTTAACAAGTGCATTTTGACTAAATCTTCAAATGTTAAAACAGAGTACCAGGTCGGGTGCAGTGGCTCAAGCCTGTAATCCAGCACTTTGGGAGGCCGACGCAAGAGGACTGCCTGAGTCCAGGGGTTCGAGACCAGCCTGGGCAACTTGGTGAGACATCGTCTCTATAATAAAACAAAAAATTAGCTGGGTCTGGTGGCACATGCCTGTGGTTCCAGCTACTGGGAAGGCTGAGGTGGAAGGATCAACTGAGCCCAGCAGGTCAAGGCTGCAGTGGCCGTGAGCATGCCACTGCACTCCAACCTGGGCAATAGTGAGACTCCAACTCAAAAAATAAAACAGAACACCAAAAAAACAAGACTTGCTGCCTTCATACTTTTCTGGAACAAGGCAGAATATAAATAAATAAATACATAAATAACAAGAGTAATACAACTGTCACAGAATGTATGTGACATTGATGGTTTGGGGAAATATATCTAAATACTGCTTACCCAGGACCCCAAAGCAGAATTCTCAGAGGTATTAAGGCTGTCCCAAACCCATCACAGCCCAGCCTGAGTTTCTCTGTTCACAGCAGCCAAGGCCCAGGGCACAGGACTCTACTCAATGGCCAACAGCTGCCCCTGGGTGTGGACAGACACCGCTGGGAAGGGGCCAGGGCCACATTCAGGCTCCTTTCCACTGGTCCATCAAGCCCTTCTCCTGGGGAGGATTGTGGACCAGCTGGGTAGCAGCCTCATCAAGGACCACATTTCCTCGCTACATGGGACTTGGGCGCCCCAGCACTTAAAAACATGACCATAAAAAGTGCTCCAATAGAGGGTGTTACCCTTTCCTATTCTGTATCCCATTCTTGTCAGCAAAAGAAAAAGAGAGCTAGCCGGGCTCGGTGGCTCAGCCTATAATCCCGCGCCTTGGGAAGCTGAGGTGAGTGGACTGCCCGAGCCCGTGGGTTCAAGACCTGCCTGAGCAACTTGGCAAAACCTCATCTCTATAATAAATCAAAAATCAGCCAGGCGTGGTAGCGCACACCTGTAGTTCCGACTACTGGGAAGGCTGAGGCGGAAGGATTGCCGGAGCCCAGCAGATCGAGGCTGTGGTGGCCGGGAGCGGCCACTACACTCCAGTCTGGGCGACAGAGTGAGACTCCAACTCCAAAAAAAAGAAAAAGAAAAAGAGAGCTTTAAAGTGAGTGTCACTAAATGTCAGGAGAAATAACTTTAGTCAGCTACCTACGGTTTTCAGATTCATGTGTGGCATGTATGAAGTTTCAAACAAGAGGCTGAATCTCAAAGTTATTCAGATTCTGAAAAAATTCAGATGCTGAAAAAATTAAAAACCAAAGGCTGACTTGACCAAAGAGGAAACTGAGCATGTCCTCTGCAAATGAAGAGCTGAGACCCCAGATACCTATAGATCAGCTGGGGCATACCACATGCCAGGAGAGGGTCCCAATCCTCCAGCCCATTCTCTCCCCAGACACATTATCTCCCTGGCCAGGTCTTGGCGCGGCCCAACTATGAGAACCAATTCAGTTCATTCCTTCTAGAGAGACCATGAGAAAATGGCTCAATCCCTTAGAAACAATACCTGCAAAGAGCAAAGGAACACAACACCCACTCTGTCACGCCTGGGCCCTTGCCTCTGTGCAGCATGTGTGCACAGGACTCCTACACAGGCAGCATTCCCAGGTACTGCTTTCCAAAAGGTCCAAGAACCAAGCTACCTCCCTACCACAGGCAGGGATGCGGAGGCCTTCTTAACAGGCCCCTGCAGAAAGCACCCAGTGGGGCAGACTCAGAAACTGTTACAAATCTACAACACAGCTCACCTGAAGAAAACCCGCCCTCTACTAGCCTGAGCCAAAAGAGCAGCAGGAAGAAGAGACTCAAAGGTTGGGAAGAGTCAGTCAGTAAGCTAGTAATGAGCCAAAAGTACAGTGAACTCACCACCCCTCCTGAAAACCCTCTCTCAGCCCTACCAAGGTGATAAGCCACTGTTTACAGATCTCCAGCAACAAGATGCCCAGTCCACCTGTGGGTGGTTCAACTTTCAGGCAATCATTCCCTAACTCCCTATAGCTCCTAGTCCCAGCCATAGCCCAATTTTGGTCCTAGTCAGTCCCACAATGAGTAACACAAGAACACACCTAACTCCTCCCTGGGCTGAAGTCCCTGCAGCACTCAGCTCTGGTTGTCCTGGCCCTCCCCAGCAATCTACCCAGCACATGCAGTTCCTCCTCTCCTTTCTTGGGAAGATGCCAACTTCAATAGGACCTAATCCCAAGCTCCCCTTAGGAGCAGCACACAGTTCAGTCTCAGGACTCGGATGCCCAGCCACATTAACAAAATCATCACAGCTTGTAACAGTGGAGGCTGGGCAAATGCCTCCATTGATTGTGTTTTCTCCCTCTCCAAAATGCATCCAGGCACATGAGTCAGCTGGGGTGTCTCAGCACAGAGTCCATCTGTGACACAGGAGATGGGCATTTGCAATTCCATTCTCAAACCATAGAACATAGTGGCCAGAAACCACCTATCTGGTCAGCTAAAACTTATAATGATGCTAACATTTAAATTTTAAAATATCAATTCAATTTGTATAAATTGAACTTATTACAGAAAATCTAGGGAGGCTGAGGCAGGAGGATTCCTTGAGCGCAGGAGTTCAAGGTTGCAGTGAGCCATCATCATGCCACTGCATTCCAATCTGGGTGACAAAGCAAGACTCTGACTCTGTCTTTTTTTTTTTTTAAAGGGAGGAGGAGGGAGAAATCTAAACACAGATTTGAACTATGCTCATTCCTAAGTATTTCTGACGTCTAGAATCACCATGGATCCACACAACGGTCCTCATAGGTCTCAAATGACAAAATATGATTTGACTGGAAACAACAGCAGCCTGGGAGTGCGCAGAGGCCATAGCTACAAGCCTACCTGCCAAGGACTCTCATGCATAGTTACACAGCCCTGGGCATGAAAGTCAGTCCTGCCCACATAGCCAAAGACGGCTGTTATAATAATCCAGATCATCTCTCTCACCTACCACCTCTCCCAGGCAGGCCAAAGAAAGACTTCTAACCTCATAGTCATTCCGCTTCTTACATTTTAGGACCAAGACAAAAAAGTAAAGAGCAATCAACCAGTCACCAGATATTTTTTCCAATGGATACCAGGCAGTTGAAAGCTTAGAACCACCTACAGAACCCACTGAATTGTTCACGTTCTGGTATGAGTAGGGACTAGAAGACACTGGCATTTCCTTCTCCTATTAGAACTGGCAGTGAATGCTGTTAGAACAGTCCTTGGTCCCAGTGAAGGCAGTCATTTACTGTTTAGTTTGGTGTGGGCCTCCTAAAAGCAATCACTGGCTGGAAGCTCTCTAAAGTGAAATGGCAGAAAAATCATGACAGCTCTTGGCATGATGTGAGGCACAGAAGGTATCAGAACAGGTAGTGTGCTGTAGAGCTCTGCGTCTGACCTCTGTAGATTCTAAACAAATGCATGTATTGACTGAGGTAACATAGACAATCCGTGTGACCAGGAAACTATCCTTGAATGAAGACAATTAATGTGACACTTCCACCACAAAGAAAGAACACTGAAGTGGCAAAGGAGTACATATGCCAAGTACACGTTACTTAACCCTCGGAGCAGGGAAAACAAACTAGCAAGTTCAAGATCTGCATTTTTGTTCTCTGCTTACCCAAATTCGCCTTTCCTTTAGATATTAGAAGGTTTTAATTGAATAATTTAATTGAGAAGTAGAAAAATAAATAATAGAAGCACAGTTCTAGCAAGTGCTAGAAGTCTTCCCTACAGGGAGTATCAACAGGCCTCCAACCTCAGCCCAGCACACATTTCACAGCCCATTTCATTAATGTGAAACTGTGAAAATTCAAAACAGAGATATTTAGGAAGAACAATATTAAGTTTTGTATGAGCCTCTTGGCTGACAATGACGCAAAGACTGTCAATGGCCCATGCACCTGAGATGGAATTACAATTCATGAGAACAAGGCCATTTCTTCTTTTTCAGTCAGCAGCACAAGATATAAGAATCGGTGCCCATTTTCACTGCAGATCACCTTCTCCTTCACTGTAATCAACCGCTGAACTTGAATTCTACTCATAAAGTAGAAACTTTTTTATGGGGTCTGGCAGAGGCAGTGAGGGAATCAGATGAAGTCGGTATTTGCCAAGAGCTCTTCTCACAGCCACACGGCACACACTCAGCAAGGTCCTGGGAACACCTGGAGAGCCATGAGAAGAAAGGGAGGGACAGAGGAAAAAAGATTAATTCCTATTCTAACTCTGAAGATCTGGGTTAGCTATAAGTGGCCAGAACCACACTAATGCTCACTGCCAACTTCCTAATTTTGTAGTCAGGAGAGCAGGTCCGGTAAGGAAGGTTATCTGCTTCTTCTAACAGAGGAAGGAGTGAAACCTTTACAGCCTCATTAACCTGGGGCATCTGCTCACTGGGACAGCATCTCCTCCCCCAACTATGTTTAATGTCCTAGACAAAGAAATAAGAGTTGACCACTGAAGGACCCAGCAGCTGTGAGCAACTGACCCTCACCCTCTGTCAGCCTCTTCTCTGAAGCTCCAAGGGGGCTTGGGGAACACAGGTCGAGCAGTACTTGACGATTTTGTTCCTAGCAAGAGAATGTAGGAATATCCCTGCCTCTGGTAGTGAAGAAAGTGACAAGTGAAACAGCCACGAACAAGATTCACTTTTTCCTATCAGTACAATTCCCAAATGACCATTAATCAACTATTTTTGGAAAGGCTACACAACAGCATGTTTTAATGAACTGGTTTAGGGAAATCTAATAACACAAATGCAATGAACTTAAAGTTCTGTGAAAGGTAAGGGGGTTAAGGGAGAGGTTATCGACTCGGATGCCCTCTAGACTCAGATTCATGGATGGGGGTACATGTGGGCAAATCATAGAGGATACACAAGGTCAGTGTCTGAGATCCAAGGAGAGCCTCAGATAACAAGACCAAGGCACGGATCAATTCCAATCTCTCTCACTATCTTATTTTAGAGATGTGGGGTACAACTCAGGATTAGACACATAAGTAATCTACATGCAGGTAGTTTGGGCCTCCAACAGGTCCTCACTTCCCCTGGTTTAGGACCAGGTACCTTTGTATTGTCTTGCTATCAGTTTATTAATCATCAACAAGATATTTCTTCAAAAATAAGCAAACTACGATTTTACAGTAACAAAAACTAGACTTATCACACAGTTCAAAATAATGGTATGTGAGTGGAACTGAAGAAGGGGAAGCAAAGAACTCCAGAAAATGGGTGTGCAATTTGTTGTAAGAGCTCATTTAAAACCTATGTATAAAACAAGTCACTGTCTCTAATAATTTGGAGACACAAAGCAGAGCAAAAAGATAAAGAGTATATAATTATAGGAACTTTGAGATCATACATGTTCCTTCACAGATTTCCTGATAATAACTTGCTGTATAGGAATTAAAAAAAAAATAAGATCAGCAGGTGCAGTGGCTCACGCCTGTAATCCCAGCAATTTGGGAGGTGTAGGTAAGAGGATTGCCTGAGCCCATGGGTTCAAGACCAGCCTGGGCAACTTGGCAAGACCTCATCTCTACAATAAATCAAAAAATTAGCCAGGCATAGTGGCGCATGCCTGTGGCTCCAGCTACTTGGAAGGCTGAGGTGGAAGGATCACCTGAGCCCAGCAGGTTGAGATTGCAGTGGCCATGAGCGTGAAACTGCACTCCAGCCTGGGTGACAGAGTGAGACTCCGACACACCAAAAAAAAAAAAAAAAGAGAGAGAGAGAAGATCAATCAGAATGATCATTCTGGAAAATTGCTATTCCTCACTGAAGATTTTGGCCAAGTGCCTACCTAGCTGGGGCTCTTTGGGGGGTTTTTTGTTTTGTTTTGCTTTTGCTACAACTTGATTCATTCAATTGACCAACAGACTACAAGTCTGATCTGAATTCAGGTCACTTACTTCTGGCCTCTTTAAAGACCTGCAAGGCCTCAGGGTCTACCTTCCTTCTGCCTCTCGACTCTGGGCCCAATGAATCCCACTTCACCAGGTTCAGGTTGGCCCCAAACTCTACCAGCAGGCTCACAAAGGCTGCCTCACAGCCATGCCGCAGGACAGCATCCATGACACACCCAGGGGAGCCCCTGTAGAATCCCTGAGTGTTGACAGGACCATTGCAGTTGAAGTCGGGGTTTGCCCCAGCCAGAAGGAGCAGCCGGAAGCACTGGAGGTTGTGGTAGGCTGCACTGATGTACAATGGGCAGACCACCAAGGAGGTGAGGCGCCGGGAGAAAGGGGGCTGGACATCAGGAGTCAGGTGGTGGTTGACATCCACATCAGCTCCATACCTACAGGGGAAAGAGGTAAAGTCAGACTGTGCAGTGGACTAACGACAGCCCATAGAGATCCCACAGCCACCCTGAGCTGAGGACCTTGATTCAATGACACTGGGAGCTACAGGAGACTCCACAGATCACAAGTAGTCATGACTTCCAGCACAATAAGACAGCAAGAAAGAACCTGGAATTCACTCACACACAAAAATTCCTAAGGAAAGTCTTTTGAACCTTTAAAGGTCCAATAGTCCCGGCAATTTTTTTTTTTTTTTTTTTTTTTTTTTTTGAGTTGGAGTCTCATTCTGTCGCCCAGACTGGAGTGCAGTGGCACGCTCCCGGCCACAACAGCGTCGACCTGCTGGGCTCTAGCGATCCTTCCACCTCAGCCTTCCAAGTAGCTGGAACTACAGGCATGTGCTACCACGACCGGCTAATCTTTTGATTTATTGTAGAGATGAGGTTTCGCCAAGTTGCCCAGGCAGGTCTCGAACCCGCGGGCTCAGGCAATCCACTCACCTCAGCCTCCCAAAGCACAGGATTACAGGCTGAGCCACCAAGCCCGGCTAGTCCCGGCTATTTAAACTATTTCAGAACAATGAAAAAGAAGAAAAATTTCCAAATTCATCTGACCAAACTGGCAAAATAACCCCAAAATCTAACAAAGGTCACAGCAAAGAAAAACTACCAACTAATCTCACTTATGAGTATAAATTTAACAAAGAAAATCCTAAAGTGTCTTAAGAAGGCAATATACCATGAACTCACAGAAGCTATTCCAACAATGCAAGGGTAGATGTTATGTTAAAAGCTCTATTGGCTGGGCATGGTAGCTTATGCCTATAATCCTAGGACTTTAGAAGGCCAAGAAGGGAGGATTTTGAATTCAGAAGTTCAAGACCTGTCTAAGAGAAAAACCCTCTGATTAACAGTACAGATGCAAGAAAAAAGGGCAAGTGACAAAACCCAACCCTTATGCATGTTTAAAAATAATCAATAAAATAGGAAGTGATGGCTTTTCCTTAACATGATAAAATATATTTTCTCAACCCAGAAGTCAGCGTCTCATTTAGCACTAGAGGCACCTCTGCTAAAGCTGGAACAAGACACAGTCTTCCGTTTTCCAGCCTCCTATTTAACATTGCTGTTGAAGATTTAGCCAGTCAATTACACAAGAGAAAGCAATTAAATGAGTTAGATTGGAAAGGAAAAGGCAAAATGTTCCCTACTTTCAGAGGATACAAATATGTGTCTGGAAAGCCCTAAATAAGTAAAATGGAAAAACAACTAACAAACAATGAGATAGTTTATTAAAGTACCAAGCTGTAAAATCAACAGGCTTCATATATACAAATTCAAAAATAAAGTAGAAGAGAAGACTCCATTTATGATAGTAAAATAAATTTTAACTGACATATCTAACCATAAATTTAGCAATAAATGTTGAAAATTTACAAAATGAAAATGATAAACTACTACTGAAAGGCACAAAAGTAGACCCAAGTGAATGAAAAGATACCCCATAGTACTGAATAAGACTCAACATCAGGATGTCAATTTTCCCTCAGTTTATTTGGTAAGTGAAAATACCATTCCCTAGAACTAAATCAGTTGATTATACATATAAATAAATAAAAATAACATCCCTGGAGTTACATTAGGTGATAAAGTTCATTTGTACAATCAAACAAGATGAAACAGTAAGGCAATAATGGAGACAGCATTACTATACATAAAGCTTATTATATAGACCTATAAAATAAAACTATGGTATTAGTACACGAACAGACAAATCAATAGGACAAAAATGACAAAAAATCCAGAAATGGGCCAAACTGCATATAGAAATTTAATCTACGCTTAAGAAATAAAAGCAAAAAATAAAATAAAAATAAAAAATAAAAGAAATTTAGTATACAGTAAGGATGGCATCTCAAATAAGGGGGAGGTGAGCTTTTTAATAAGTGTTTTTTTGGATGACTAGATATCCATATGAAAAGATGCTCAGCCTCACTCATAACAACAGAACTGCAAATTAAAACTACTCTGAGATACAACTTCTTGCCTATCAGATTGGGAAAAATCCAAAAGTTTATTGACCAGGATTTTAGGAAACAGGGAGTCTTCATTCATTACTGGGGCAACACAAACTGGAGCAAGCCCTATGGAGGGGAATTTGGTGATTGCTAGCAAAATCACACATATATTTACCCTTTAATCTATCAGTCACACTTCTTGAGATCTATTCCCAAAATACATTTGCAAAACTATGAAAAGATGTATGCACAAGGCAGTTCATTAAAGCATATCTGTAACAGCTGAAGACAGCAAACCTTAATCAAACGATCAAAGTGAATATCAGCAGCAATGAGACAAACTGAAATCATGTGCAATCTGACAAGAGGTAATGAGAACACAACCTCACTTCTGTGAGATTCCTGCTCAAGATGCATTACCTGACTCTAATTTGAGTAAACATTAGACACTCGGCACCTGCTTTCTTGAACTTTCACTGGCCCCAGACAAGTATTTCATTTGCAATAGGAAACAGCCTTGTGTAGGAAGCATTGATGATGGGGTGGACATGCAAGAGTGCAGGGAAGACAGAACAGCAGTTTTCCAGGCTTTAAGAAACAATGGCTGGCTAACAGTATCAACCACCAATCACGCTTTCTACTCATCTCTTCAGCACCATTCTAAGTGTCCAGAAAAACTGTCCCCTGGAACCCAAACTGCTTTCAACACAGGCCTAAGGACAGGCACATGGACCAACATGCCCACATGATAATGAAGCTTCCACTACAAACATAGACATCACTCATTCTCCAAGACATTCTAGGAGTGCCAGGAGAAACTTTCTAAAATACATATGAAACCAACCAGAAACTGATATTTCATTTCATACACTCAACCAATTAAGAAAAGGAAAAACTAGACTTCAAGCAGTGATTTTTTTTTTTCTCCCTATTTTTAGGGGAAAATCTTCCAAATCGTTTGTAATTTTGGGCAATATGACAATCTGTTATTAGCTGAGCTGTGGGAAAGATAGCCCTTCATCCACTCATAAAAATATACTGGATGAAAGCCAGTTAATTTTAATCCTGAATATTTTCCAAATTCCTCTATTGCTTTTAATATCACTGGCAAGGAACCACTGGGACAACTCAATAAATCACTATAACTTTTGCACACATAGAAATTCCATTCCTTACCTTTTTTCTAAAACATAAGCAATATATATCAAGGGAATTTACAAATAACAAAATGGAGGTTTCTTACAGAGGAACAAAAAATTACTACAGTGAAAGATGAGAGTCCTGCTAGTAGGGAAATGACATACAGAAGGCAGGAGCTACAATAGATTATTTTCAGATATCACTGTTCAGTAACTTAACCATATCACCCTCATTTTCCAAAAGCCAATTATCCTGGAATTCAGAATATAGAAAACTTTTTAATAGAATAATACATGCTCTTGGTACCTCATTGCAACAGTATAATGTCCTGTGCTTTAGTGAGGAAATAAGACATCTTAGTAATGTTTTCTCAAGAAAGGCATCTACATATGTACATCTCAGTCAAGCCAGCAGGTAACTAAAAGCAGTTCTTCATCACGAATTGACTGAAATGCCCAAAGGGACTTCTGGAACCAAGATGGAATTTCACTGATTGATCCTACTCAAAGTCATCTCCAAATTACTTACATTCTCCAAGATGCAAAGATACTGAACTGAGGTAGCTTAGATGATCAGGCTAGAAATCCTCAAAAAGAGGAAAAAAGCCTCACAGCTTTAACTCCCTTTAATATAACCACCTTATCACTCTCATTTATTTTCACAAAAGTCAACTGTATAGCTATTTAACATGCAAAACCTTTTGATGATATAAATATATTCTCAGTACCTAATTTAAAAGCCATGTTTTGTGCTGGGCAAAGTGAATGCCAAGTCCCTGCTCATCAGAGCCCCATAACTGTAGCCTGTAGACCCCCTTACCCAATCCTTTCCAATACTGAAAATTTTCACGGAGAATCAGATACCTAAACTGCACCCTGCCCAAGCACAGAACAATTTGACCACCAGAGTATGGGAAGAAAAAAAGCATCTTTGGTAGACAGACATCACTGGGCACATGAAAAATGAAAACACAATTGGTTCAAACAGAAAAAATAAAGGTAACCATTAAAATGATCAAAATAAGACTGTAAACCTTTTAAAAGAATGGAAGGGGAAAGTAAAGAAAACAGACTATGGAACAAAGATATCAAATAAAGGAAATAGTTAAGAAACAGAAAGAAAACAGAAATAGATCCTAACATCAGTTATAGCTATAATGTTAACTGTGTTAAAAAACAAAGAATCCCAGACAAACAGTTCTTTATGAGCACACACAGAACTACTTAAACTCCCTAAGATTAAAACTAAATAAATATATAACACTGTGTAAACAAGCCTTAAATAAAACTAATAGTACTCTTTAGTTTTGACAGTGGGCATAATCCATAAGCCAAAACGTTTACAAACTCAATTAGCATCAAAATAGTCAAAGCAGACCCTGTCGCCACAAAAATATCAGAAAATCAGTTGGGTGTGGTGACTCGTGTGTATAGTACCAGATACTTGGGAGGATGGGGCAGAAGGATTGCCTGAGTCCAGGAGGTTGAAGCTGCAGTGAGCTGTGAGCTGTGCCACTGCACTCCAGCTTGGGTGACAGAGTGACACCCCGACTCAAAAAAAAAAAAGACCAAAGTAAATACTATTCAAAGTATCAGGAAACTGACAAAATCATAGATTTCTCTGAATTTCTGGCAGATCCAATGGCAAAAATGTAAAAAAGAAAGAATAGTTCTGAATAAAACAATTTAAGATAACACATTGTAGTATGCAAATAAAATACTCATGGTCATGTACTTTGTTTTACGCATCCACAACAATAATGTAGTCTGACATTAATAAATAATAAAAATAACAAAACCAAAGAATCCCCAAAATGAACACTATATGGTCCATATTACCTGAGCACAATACAATAAAATTAGAAGTTTTTCAAAAATGTTATTAATACTTTCTCAGACAGATGCAGTGGTTCACACCTGTAATCCTAGCACTTTGGGAAGCCAAGATGAAGAACTGCTTGAGCCCAGGAGTTCAAGACTAGTCTAGGCAACATAGCAAGAATTCATTTCCACAAAAAAAAATTTTTAAATAGCTGGGTGTGGTTGTATGCACCTATACTCAGGAGGCTGAGGTCGAAGGATCGCCTGTGCCCAAGAGGTTGAGGCTGTGGTAAACTGTGATCATACCACTACACTCCAGCCTGAGCAAGAGTGAGACCCTGACTCAAAAAAACAAAACAACAAAATTTTTTCTCTCCATAATTCCAAGAACAAAGAGGAAATCAACTTCAATTATAGCTATTTTAAAACTAAGGGAAAAGCTTAGAGGACATGGCCAAAACTATAGTAAAAGATAAGTTTACATTATTGGCTGGGCTCAGTGGCTCAGCCTGTAATCCCAGCACTTTGGGAGGCCGAGGTGAGTGGATTGCCTGAGCCCGTGGAATCGAGACCAGCCCAGGCAACTTGGCAAGACCTCGTTTCTACGATAAATAAAAAATTACCCAGGCGTGGCAGCATACACCTGTAGTTCTGGCTACTTGGAAGGCTGAGACGGAAGGGTCGTTGGAGCCCAGCAGGTGAATGCTGGGGTGGCTGTGAGCATGCCACTGCACTCCAGCCTGGGTGACAGAGTGAGACTCTAACTCAAAAAAATAATAATAATAAGTTTACATTAATCAAGAAAAAATGAGTAAGTATTCAACTCAAAAAGATTAAAAATGGGAAAAAGATAAAAATAAATGTAAATGAATAAGAAGAAAAATAAGAGAAATGACAAAGCTAAGAAGCAGTTCTTGAAAAAGACTAGCAAAATAGACAAATCCTCTAACAAGTCAAATTTTAACACTTTTCCCGCTTGCCCCAAGAATACTTGTCAGCCACTCTTGGCAGCTGCAGCTTACCCCGAGATAACTCGTGGATTACAAGTACTAACCTTACCCCCAAAAGTTTGTCATGAAATATCTCGCTTTTGCTATTATTTTCGCATCACTCTAGTGTGTCAATAATCTTTAGAAACAAATGACATTATTCTATTTATAGTATTCTGTTTTTAGTGGTGGTGTTTCCGCTTACAAAATACAGTAATTCTCTTCTTTTTTTGTAAATTAATTCTCAATTGCTGAAAATGTCAAATCCTAGAAAACATAGTATTCCTATGTGTGATGTTAACACACACAAAAAAATTTATTAAATACTGATTATATAAATTTCTATTCCATTAGGACTAGAGACAAGTTCTGTTTAGAAATAACACCAAGAACAGTTTTTATATTTTATTTTCACATTGAAAACCAGTCAGATTTGCTTCAGCCTCAAAGAGCATGTTTATGTAAAATTAAATGAATGTGGCAGCTAGCTGCACTTTTTTTTTTTCTTAATGGGAAATGGGATTAAAGGGAAAAAAAAGCAAAGACAGAAAAGGAACAAGAAAGCAGCTGTAGGACCCAATGGGGGCGGAGCCTGCAGTACTGACCTAATGAGGGCCTTCAGGATGTCGGCCCTGCCCACACGAGAGGCGTGGTAGACAGGGGTGCTGCGATGGTGCCGGCTTCCATTAGGGTCAGCGCCAGCTTCGAGAAGGATCTGGGCACTCTCCAGGTGTCCGTTCACCACAGCCACATACAGAGCCGTCTGTCCCTTCACATCCACCAGATCCACCTCGGCCCCCTTCCGGATAAGGAAGTCCACACAGTTCCCGTGGCCTGCAGTGGCCGCGATCCGCAACGGTGTGCAGGGGAGCCAGCCACAGCACCAGACAGACTTCTCGTTTATGCGGCTACAGGAGGAACACAGGGGAGTCGTGAGAGGCAGCCCCAAAAGGGGACAGGCTGCTCTACCTCCTCTCACACTGGTAATGTGAAACAGATGCCCCGACGAGGGCAATCACTTAAACAGTCATTCCTCTGGTTTCATGCTGCCTATTCTGTTTTCTGAAATGCTTTCACATCTTCACCTGCTGGACCTGGTCACAGCAGCACAGGCATTAAGAGGCCCACTCTAGAGGAGGAAACTCAAGGCACTGGCAGAATGATCAGCACCAGAACGAAGATCTCTAGTCCTTAGACTTCCTGACACACCGTCCAAAGCACCTTCCTCTACAAAGGAGGGACGGGTCTGTCCGGGAGGCAGTACAGACTGAACGGCACTCACCCAGGAATCTGGGTCAGGGTCCCAGGTCCCTTTTCACCTGTTACCATCCATGAAGGCCTGAGGCTGGACCTCAGCATCCTCACTGGAACTGGGTGATCACTATGGTCCACTGAGGTAGCACAAATGACAGCCAGAAGGAGTCACTAAGGTGGCATGGCAGCTACACTCCTGGCCAACAGCAACAGAGGAAATTGTCCAGACTCAGCTTTCAGAGAATGTGACAATCAGACTGCAGCTGCCTCTACTGTCCACTGAGCCATCAAGTCAACAACCAAGGAAAACCAGAACCAGCAACCCAAGAATATGAAGCAGGAAGCATCTCCTCAAACCAGCCCTTGGGGTTTCTCCTTCAAGCCATGCACTAACTATGACTGGTCAAAAAAGTTGAGGAACAAAGAAATAAGTAGTAACAGCAAAATATTGTAAATAAATGGGAGATGTACTGGTTAAAAGAAGAAAAGAAAAAAGTACTTGGAAAAGCAATATGGAAACACTCGGTCTAATACCTAGCTGGACTCTAATTTATTCTACTATTATATCTGCAAGTTTAACTAAGGTTTTCTTTGGGCTTGAGCCATTCACATTAAATATCTGTAAATAATCCATTTGTCTTTGTATGACAATCCTCTCTGGTACTTTTAAAGAAAAAAATACCGCTATCTTCTCTGATGAAATAATGCTAACACACTAGAAGGAAAGGACAAAAGAAACATATTCCTGTACTGTTAGAAATTCTTTACTTGGGAACTATCCAAAGAAGAGTGGTAGTATTTGTTTCAGCACCAACATGTAGGCATTTCTTCTATCAACTCACTGCCATCCTAGTCCTCAAAAGGAAGCAGAAACACAGAAAAAGTATGGAGGAGTTTCTGGTTGTAGCTGAGTTTAAAATCTAGTCGGGACTCCAATTTTAGACCCACAGAACAATCAGGGAACACTCCAGAGAGAAGGCAGCCTCTGCCCTCCCAGGTGTCCTGAGCAGGGAGAGGGAAGAGCAAGAGTCTGCTGCTGCAAAGGAAGGGCTATGCCACTTTGGAAGGACTGGCAGGGTTTGGCCAGGCAAGGGCCGGGGACCACCCATAGGAGGAACAGCGGGCAGAACACCCACCAACCCCTGGGGCGATGAGATACCATCCCCTGGGGGCAGACGACTGAGGGCCTGAGAAGTCAGGGAGAGGACACCAGATGAAGGAGATAAGCGCACAGAACCACCTGGGATAAAGAGACACAAGCACCTCAAAAGGGACAGGGCCAGTACTGAAGAGAGTAACAGGGCCTCATAGGTAACACTGGGGAGGCTGACCCAGAGAGGGCCAAAAATTTCCAGAAAGTACAAAGATCAATGACTGAGCCAGACTTGAACTCAGGTCTCGCTGACCATACTCCTCGACTGTCTCCCACAACTGTGACCAGCCTCCTTTTTTCCTTCATCCTCTAAAGGTAGAACACACTACTCCCCGCATCAGGGTCTTCGTGTACAAACCAGATGGAGAGGCTCAGCTTCGTTCGGCCCCGCAGAGGCCCAAGAAACTAAACCAGCGCCACTCACCTCCGGTAACTCTCCTCTTGCAACAGGCTACGGAGGGTCTGCAGGTCCCCCACGTAGGCTGCATCGTGGAGCCTCGTGTCCTCACAGTGCTCCAGCGGGTGATCACAAAATTGCTCCCTCAGCCATTCCTTCAGATTAGGACCTGCGCTGAACAGAGGGGGTCCTGTCGATTCAGGGAACCAGTGTCAGGGCCAACCATAAGAGGGCATCATCTGAAGGGAGTCCTCCCTTTCCCAGCTACACTTTCAAAATCTCAAGAAAGAAATCACAAGCCTGACATGGTAGCTCACACCTATAATCCCAGCTACTCAGGAGGCTGAGACAGGCGAATCCCTTCAGGTCAGGAGTTCAAAACTATTCTGTGCTGTTGTACAGAGACCCAACTCTAAATAAATAAATAAATAGTTCAAAATTGTACTGTGCTGCTGTGCAGACACCCTGACTCTAGATAGATAGATAGATAGATAGATAGATAGATAGATAGATAGATAGATAGAGTGACCAACCTCTTTGGGTTTTCTATTTGTCTTGAGACATGGTCTCACTCTTTTGCCCAAGCTGGAGTAAAGTAACACAATCATAGCTCAATGCAGTCTTGAATGCCTGAGCTCAAGCAATCCTCCCACCTCAGCTTCCTGAGTAGCTGGGACTACAGGTGTGTACCACCATGCCCAGCTAATTTTTTTATTTTTTGTAGAAACGAAGTCTCACTGTGTTGCCCAGGCTGGTTTCAAATTCCTAGACTCAAGCAATCCTCCTGCCTCACTGTCCCAAAGAGGTGGGATTACAGGCATGAGTTACTGTGCCCGGACTTTCTTTAGGGTTTTAATATCAAATGTGACAAAAAGATCCTAAAGTTCATTTGGAAGTATAAATAAAGGGAAAATAGCTTTTTTGGTTTTTTAGTAAGAATAATAAGAAAAGACTTACCCTACTACATAACAGAACATTCATCAGAATAACAAGATAAATAAATCAAACAGATTAAATTGCCCTGAAAGACCTTAGTATAAACAACTTAATACAGGGCATTTCATTGTGCTTCACTATATTACTCTTTGCAGATAATTACATTTATTACAAATTGAAGGTTTGTGGCAGCCCTGTTTTCAGCAAGTCTATTAGAGCCATTTCTCCAACAGCATGTGCTCATTTTGTGTCTTCTGTGTTATACCGTGGTAATTCTTACAATATTTCTAGTGTTTTGTTATTATATCTGTTATGGTGATCAATGATATTACTACTGTAACTGTTTTGGGATATCACACAAACTGTGCCCCATAAGACAGTGGAACTTAATCGGTAAGTGTTGTGTGTGTTCTGACTCCTATTCTGACTACTCATTGACTGTTCATTGGCAGTCTTTCTCCCTCTCCTTAGGCTCCCTATTCCAAGACACAACAATATTGAAATTAGGCCAATTAATAACTCCACAAGTCCTCTAAATGCTCAAGTGAAAGGAAGAGGTGCACACGTTTCACTTTAAATCAAAAGCTAGAAATGATTACATTTAGTGACAAAATTTAAGCATGTCAAAAGCTGAGACAGGTCAAAAGCTAGGCCTCTTGTGCCAAACAGTCAAATTGTGAAAAGTTCTTGAAGGAAATTAAAGGTGCTACTTCAGTGAACACACAATAATAAAGTAAAACAGTCTTTTGCCAATGTGGAGAAAGTTTTAGTGTCTGGATACAGGATCAAACCAGCTACAACATTCCCTGAACCCAAAGTCTAATTGAGACAAGGCCCTAACTTTCCTGAATTCTAAGAAGGTTGGAGAAAGGGGAGGAAGCTGCAGAAGAAGTAAGAAGCTAGCAGAGGTTGGTTCGTGAGGTTTCAGAAAAGGCGCCATCTCCATAACATAAAAGTACTAGATAAGGCAGTAAGTGCTAATGGAGAAGCAGCAGTGAGATATCCAGAATATAAGATCTAAATCATTGATGAAGGTGGCTATACTAAACAACTGATCTTCAATATAGATTAAAAAAGCAACCTTCTATTGGAAGAAGACGTCATCAAGGACTTTCATAGCTAGAAAGGAGAAGTCTTCTAAGCTTCAAGGGCAGACTGACTCTCTTGTTAGAGGCTAATGCAGCTGGTGACTTTAAGTAGAAGCCAATGTTCATTTACCATTCCAAATATCCTTCTGTCTGTGCTCTACTAATAGAACAACAAAGTTCAGATGACAGCACATCTGTTTACAGCATGGTTTACTGAATAATTTAAGCTCACTATTGAGACCTACTGCCCTGAATATAGATTCCTTTCAAAATATGACTGCTCGTTGACAATGTACCTGGTCAGCCAAGAGCTCTGATGGAGATGTACAAGGAGATTCATGTTGTTTTCAATTAGTTAGCAGCCTGCTAACACAAGATCCATTCTGTAGCCCATGGATTAAGGAGCAATTTCAACCTTCAGTTGTTATTATGATTTAAGAAATACATCCTATAAGGCTATAGCTGCCACAGAGTGACCTTTCTGGTGGATTTAGGCAAAATAAAATGAAAACCTTCTGGAAAATATTAATCATTCTAGATGCCATTAAGAACATGTGGGAGGCGGTCAAAATACCAATATTAACAGGGTTTGAAAGTTGATTCCCACCCTCGTGGATGACTTCAAGGCTTCAGTGGAGGAAGTAACAGCAATTGTGGTGGAAATAGCAAGAGAACTAGAATTTGAAGTGGAGCCTGAAGATGTGACTGAATTGCTGCAACCTCATGAATGGATGAGGAGTTGCTTCCTATGGATGAGAAAAGGAAATGGTTTCTTGACATGGTATCTACTCCTGGTGAAGATGCTGTGAACACTGTTGTCCAACAATATCACATCAACTTAGTTGATAAAGCAACAGCAGAGTTTGAGGAAATTGATTCCAATTTTGAAAGAATTTCTACAGTGGGTAAAATGTTATCAAACAGCATCATACACTACAGAGAAATCTTTTGTGAAAGGAGTCAATTGATATGGCAAACTTAATTGTTGTCTTATAAAGATATTGCGGGCAACCCACTTTTAGGTCTCCTCTCTCTGACGAGAGCTTTCCTGTCTCCTAATAATAAACTGACTTGCTCACAAAAAAAAGAAGAAATTGCCACAGTCACCCTAATCTTCAACAACTACCACCCTGATAAGTCGACAACCATTAACACTAAGGACTCTCCACCAGTAAAAAGATTACCACTTGCTGAAGGCTCAGATGATCATTGTCATTTTTAGCAAAAAAGTATTTAAAATTAAGGTATGTATATTTTTTAGACATAATGCTATCATGGCGCACTTAACAGACTACAGTGCTTTTTGAATCAGTGGCTCACTCGCACCCACCGCAGCCTCGACCTGCTGGGCTCAGGTGATCCTTCTGCCTCAGCCTTCCAAGTAGCTGAAACTACAGGCACGTACCACCATGCCCAGCTAATTTTTTTATTTATTGTAGAGATGAGATCTCACCAAGTTGCCCGGGCTTATCTAGAACCCGTGGACTCAGGCAATCCTCTCACTTTGGCCTCCCAAAGTGCTGGGATTATATACATGAGCCATCATGCCCAGCCAAGTTCATGCTTTTTACTTACACACCTATCTGAGAAATTATTTTCAAAGAAGTCTTAAATTTTTAGGAATTTATTTTGGATTATGGTGTGAGGTGAAGAACGCAAATTATTTCCAAATAGGTATCTCAATGTACAAATGCCTCTTTTTTTTTTTTGAGTCAGAGTCTCACTCTGTCGCTCACGGCCAACACAGTCTTAAAGGCTCTTTAAGACCACCCCAGTCCTTCCTTTCAGTCACTATCCTCCACTGTAATCACCCCATAGTTGCAATTACTATAGGTTGAAAAAGTTCAAAGTAGGAGTGGGAAAGGTACAGGAGTGGGGAATAACCAACAGGTAAGTGGGATGGGAATTTTGCTAAGTCCTCCTCCGGACTCCCTTTGTTGGCCTCTGTATACCCCATTCCTGGCCCAGCTCAATGCAGCCTCGGAATCTTCCGGAGCTCCAGATTCAAAGGCAACTTTAAGTTTGTGTTTGGCTGACCAGCTACTCCAATGACAACATAATTACCCCAGGACAGCACCTACACCTTAACTGAACATCTATTGTCCCTCCATCCCAGGCCCAAAACACATTGAAAAACAAAACTTCACTGTACATGGATATTTAAAAAGTCCTGTGGCTGGCTCAGTGGCTCAGCCTGTAATCCCAGCACTTTGGGAGCCGAGATGAGTGGATTGCCTGAGCCCACGGTTCGAGACCAGCCCAGGCAAATTGGCAATACCTCGTCTCCACAATAAAAAAAAAAAAAAAAATTAGCCAGACATGGTAGCACGTAACTATAGTTCCAGCTACTTGGAAGGCTGAGGCAGAAGGATTGCCAAAGCCCAGCAGGTCGATGCTGGGGTGGCCGTGAGTGTGCCACTGCACCCCAGCCTGGGCGACGGAGTGAGACACCAACTCAAAAAAAAAAAAAAAAGGCCAGTGCATAAGGCAAAGCCAGTGTTTCTTCCACAAGACCTCTCTCTATACTGGGAAGTAGCTGTCAGTCTTCTTTTTCCAACTGAACACCTCTCATTCCATCTATCACTCTCACATTAGATGCCATCCCATACCCTAAGGTCCTGGCAGTCCCTGAGGTCAAAGTCAATGCCAACCAAAGCCCAGGATGGCTGGCCTTTTGTCTGGCTTGTTCTCCTCACTATGGTATCCTCAGATGGGTCTAGCCAACAGTAGGCTCTCAATAAATATCTGTTGAATGAATAAATATCGGGAGGGAGGGAATGGATAAAAAAGGCTACTTGCACCTGTCTCCAAGTCAATCTTTTGAGATTTCTGCAAACTTAAGAGTAATAAACTTCTCAGTTTACTAGTAAGATGGAGTAATAAACTCTTGAAGAAAAATCTCTCCAAAGACAAAGATGAGCACATAAATAAAGTTCAGAGCACATGAAGGCACTGGCACAAATGACAAGCTCAGAAATCCAGCAAGGAGGGAATCCCAACTCAGGGAAAGAGAGATGTCGCCTGACTGCTTCCCCTACAAATTCACATTTGCATGGTAGGAATACTTCAAGGTGAGACCCTAAGTGAGATGGCTATTTTGGGTGGTAGGTGACAGCCTTTCTAGCTGCCTCCTCTGCTGGTGGGCCAAGGGCCCCTGGACAAGCTGTGTCACTGACAAGATCGCTGGGGACGGCGTCTTTGCTGTCCCAGTATGTCTGTGCTTGTGGGAAAGTCGGGGGTGGTGGCCCTGCTGTACCACCTTGGGACATGCCGTAGTTGGCAGAATACGGAGAAGGTACTTGCCCTCCCTAAGGCTGACTGAGGGGCTTTCCTCATCGGTACGCTCGTTGCTGGACAATGACCCACGTCCTATTTTTACAGCTGGGGTCATATCACAACCGATCGGTTAACTGGATGGAAGTTACAATGCAAGTTGCACTGGAAAGAAAACCTAGCGCGAGGGCTGTCCACAGGAGGCCGAGGCGCTGGGGACGCATTCGTGGTCGGGTAGTCCGCACTGTGAGCCGCGCGGACCGGACACCCTGCCAGCGGGGCACGGCTCCCTGGCAGCCCAATGGGTCTAGTCATTCCAAGATGAGGACGCAGGGCCTTGGCAGGGTCGCCGGGCCAGTCCCCCACTGCCTCCACACGCCCCGCGGCCTAGAGGCCATACGCACGTTACCTGCGGGCCCCGGCCCGGCCCGCCCGTCAGGGGCGCCGCCCTCTGCCATGGATGCTTCTGCCTTCGGATCTCACAGCCCGCCTCCCCGGCCGCCCCTGGCCCGAAAACGGCCAGCGGCCACTTCCGGCGCAGCAGGCAGGTGGGCCGAGTCAGGAGCGCGGCTTCCGGCGGGGGCGCGCCTCTCTCTCTGGCTTCCGGTGCCCTGTGCCGGGCGCCGGGCCGCGAATTCCGGCTCCTTGCCCTACTGAGTGCTGACCGCTGCAGCAGTCCGGCGCGGGATTTAAGGATACCGACTGTCGGGGCACCGACCGTGCTGTCATTTCTCCACAGGAGAAGCAGAGAAGTTGGAAACCGCGTTTACTTGGAGGCGGAACCTAATTTGCATATCCCTGAGACTCTGTTGATCGGGTCCTTCCCCAAGGAAGGGGCGTGGCCCTCTTCTCTGTGTGTGGGCGGGGCCATAGGAGTCTTCTGACTTGGGTTGGAACCAGACAGGCTGGTGGGTGGCCCGCCGCTAACCGAATCCAGCGTCAGCCGCAGGGCCTGCTCCAGTGTGTCCGCGAGCCCGGCCGTGAACCACGAGTAGCCCCGGGAGGGTGGATTCGAAGGTACAGAGGTTGTTGAAGGTGTACCGCAGGGCTTCGGATGAATGCCCCCTAAATTTCTTCCATGAAGCCAGGAATCACATTATATGTTATTACAGCCCAGTGCCTGACACACAGTGAATTGAATAAATGAACGCATTAGAGAGCAAACGAATAACTTTTCCTGCATACTCCCAATTTCCAATATTGCAATGTTGTCAAAACATGTATTGATTTTGGTTCTTAAGCATGGATTCCCTTGGCTTCTTCCATTCCTGCCACCTGAGTTACAGAGAAGTCTTCGTGTAGGAGGAGGACATCATAGAGAAGGCAGCATTTGAGAGCGAAGAGCCCCATTGGGTTTTAGAGGTGGAGTACAAGATACAGCAGGAGACTGATGAGACGGAAGGTCGGAGCTCCCAACAATCGTGGGTGTGATTTGCCCATCTTTGTGTTGTTACAGCACACATGGGAACTAGTAACCCACATGAGCAGCCCCTCAGATTTCCACAGGCTGGCCCTGTGTGGTCCTGATGCACTGAGTGGGACTACCTGGGTGCAAACCTGGCAGGCCCTGCAGGGTGTGTTTTTTTGGTAGGGGGAGGGGAGATAGTGGGGCACTTCCTGCAGTGGTGTTTGGGCTTGATAACAGCAGAAAACACCACTGTTATAAGGGATGGGTGTCACCGTAGATGCTGCAAGGCAGAGAGCCAGGGGTGTTCCCTGCCTGAGTCTTTCCACCACAGCTGACATCCAGAACTCCTGGAACTTTAAAACACATGTCTGAAAATAACCCAAGTGTCCTTGGTTGGATGAATGGATAATCCAAATATGGTACATCTTATTCAGCCTTAAAATAAAATCCTGACCCATGCTACAACATGGATTAACTTTGAGGATATTATGCTGAGTTAAACAAGCCAATCACAAAAAGATAAATATTGTATGATTCCACTTATATGAGGATCCCTAGGGTAGTCAGATTCATAGAGACAAAGTAGAATGGTTGTTGCCAGGGTCTTGGGAGAGAGAAGAATGGGGAGTTAGTGTTTATTGGGAACAGTTTCCGTTGAGGAAAATAAAAAGGTTTTGGAAATCGGTTGCACAATTCACAAAGTAAATTTACTTAACACTACTGGCCGAGCACGGTAGCTCAAGCCTGTAATCCCGGCACTTTGGGAGGCCGAGACTAGAGGATTGCCTGAGTCCAGGTGTTCAAGACCAGCCCGGGTAACTTGGTGAGACCTCATCTCTACAATAAATCAAAAAATTAGCCAGACATGGTGGCACTCAACTTGTAGTTCCAGCTACTTGGAAGGCTGAGGCAGAAGAATCGCCTGAGCCCAGCAGGTCGAGGCTGTGGTGGCCATGAGCATGTCACTGCACTCTCGCCTGGGTGACAAAGTGAGAGTTCGACTCAAAAAAACAAAATAAAACCAAAAAACCCTACTAAACTGTACACTTAAAGGTCAGCATGGTAAATTTTATGTTGTGTCTATTTTGCCCCCAATTTTTTACAAGAATTTTTTTAAAACAGAGGTTCTGGTACCATCAGTCTGGGGTGTGGCCTGGGTGTCAGGGATGAGCCCAGGTAATTCTAATGTGCAGCCAGGCTTTAGAGGCAAAGCCATTGTCTCCACTTGGCTTTCACACTGTCTTTCCTAGACCCAGTGACCCAAAGTGAAAATCCCTGTTTGTCAGCAGCCGTTGCATCAAGGTATTAAATGGCCTGGGCAAAGCCTCCCTCCCATGCCTAGGGCTTCACCTCACCTACCTACATGTTGCCCTTGGGATCCTCTCTCTTCTTGAGAAAAATCTGAGGCACCAGTTGGTTCTTGATGGGGAGGTAGCCTCACATTCCCACCCTCACTCCTCCTAAATGCCTGCACAGTGCAGGGCATTGTCCTCAGAGCCAGCAGTACAGAAATGGGAGGATGCTTACTCACTGTCCCACCCTCTGCCAATACCACGGCCCCATTTCTCAGAACCCTGAGGTCAAGGGGACTCAGCACTGTGTCCAAGACCACACTGCCCACAGGTGACTGAGTTGGGACTTGCACTCAGGACTGTCCAGCCCCAGAGCTTGTCTGCTCCTCATGCTTCACCTGTCCAGGGTCCCCCTTATTCCAGGCCCTTTGAGCCTAAAAGACCCATCAACAAAGAGACACTCACTCAGTAAATGCTGGAGGTGGAATTAACACAAGTCATGTCATCTACAACCAACAGGAATTTACCAGTGCCAACCCAGCCTGACAGACACAGGATCAGTGCCACCTCAGGTAAAGTGGGGGACTGTCTCTGTTCCCCTCCCTCCCCTTTTCCCACCCCCCAGTACTTCCTCCCACCATCAAATCAAATCACCCATCACTTCTGTTGCCACCTAGTGGCTTGGCCCTCCTCTACAGCAGCCCACTCATTCATGTCCCCCCCAAAAAAGTCCTGTGTCACCAAACGGCCCCACCTTGGAGAAAATAATCAGAAGTGTGAGAGATTTAACTACCGTTGTGCTTGTTCAACATAGTTTTTATAATTATGGTCAACCATGGGCCTTTTGGTTCAGGGGATCTGAGAAGGGGCCAGGACTGTTTATGTTGAAAGAGCCCCTCATCTCTCACCCCTCACTTGCTGCAGGGAGCCAATGGCCCCCTCTGGAAACACAGCAGGTATGTGAAGGGCTAGAAGCCTGAGCCCCACAGCTGGCTGGTGAGGACCCTGCCAGGTCTGAGTGTGCCAGCACTGTTCATCTCCAGGAATGGGGCAGCAGATTGTCACCCAGGCAGGAGCCAGAAATGGGAATCTCCCATTGCTTGGCCCTATGGGCCTGTGTATGGGGCCTTGGCTCCCAGCCATGCCTCCACCCATCCACTCTGTACCCTCCCAGCAGTACTTATCTCCTCACCTGACTTATAGCTGAGAGGAACCATCCTATCTCTCCTGGCAGACACCTAAGTTCCTGGAAATCTGCCTCTGACAGATATTTTGATTTTCTCCCAAGAGCTTGCCCAGGACTTGCTACTGAACCTACAGATAAAGTCATTCATCAGCCAGAACTGACAAACTGCCACACCCAGGCACTAGGATCCAGGAGCCCAGGGGTGAGCAAAACTGACACTGTCCCACAGAACCCATAGACCGATGTAGTGGGTTGAATGACGGCCCTCAAAACAGAGAAGTTCACAGCCTAACCTCTGGAGCCTGTAAATGGAAACTTATTTGGAGAAAGGGTTTTTGCAGATTAAGAATTTCGTATATCAAGATGATATCATCCTCGATTTAGAGTAGGCCCTGATCTAATGGTAGATTTGAAAGAGAAGAAGGCTGGGCACAATGGCTCATGCCTGTAATTCTAGCACTTTGGGAGGCCAAGGTGGGAGGATTGCCTGAGCCCAGGAGTTCAAGACCAGCCTAGGCAACATAGCGAGACCTCGTTCATACAAAAAAAATCAAAAAATTAACCAGGCATGGCGGCACACACCTATAGTCCCAGCTACTTGGGAGGCTGAGGCAGAAGAATTGCTTGACCCCAGAAAGTCTAGGCTGCAGTAAGCTGTGATCATGCCATTGCACTCCAACCTGGGTGACAGATTAAGAACCAAACTCAAAAAAGAGAGAGAAGAAGGTCATGCAAAGATGAAGGCAGGGGCTGGAGCAATGCTGCCACCGCCAAGGAACATCTGGGGCCCCGAGAAACTGAAAGAGGCAGGAAGGATCCTCCCCTAGACCCTACAGAGAGAGCATGGCCCTGTTGGCACCTTGATTTCAGACTTCTGGCCTCCAGCCTGCAAGATAATACATTTCTGTTGTTTTAAGCCACCAAGTTTGTGGCGATCTGTTTCAGCAGCCCTAGGACACTCACACCCAGTGGAGAAACTGGAATTATAAATCGCCCCCTGAGACAAGGACCACGCAGGAAATCAGGATATGGAGGCCTCTCCAGGAGTCCCACAAAGGATATTTATTAGCTGTGTTACTAAAAAGCACATTATTTTGGTAACATCTTCAGAAATTATTTTTTCTCAAGTTTGGAATTTATTTTACTTTCTCATAGGTCACCAGCCAGAAAATACATGCCCAAATGGGAACATCAGTGGAAGCTGAGCCTGTTGTCTTGTCCCATTGCCACCGTAAGGCCTTCACTGTTTTTCTCTGCCAAGGTTATACTGGGGTCAGAACCCGACACTGCCTTGGGCAAGGGCCAACAGAAAGACTATTTCTGAAACCATAAAGTAACAGAAGAATGCCCTGTGTTACAATTAATAAATATCATTGTTAATAGATGTGAACAAAGCTGGCCTTCATTTCTTTATTTGGTGGCCCATTTGGTGAAGCACTTAAGAAGGGCCCAGGCCAACATACACACATAATGGTTTTAATTACATCCTGTGAATTTATTTTTCCAGAGAGAAATATTTCTCGGGGAAATGTCCATAAAAGCAACTTTAGCAGAGTGGGATTGTGTGTGTGTGTTTCCTATAG